TTAGATAATATCTAAAGTTTGAGTGAAATACACTCATCACCAACATTGCCGTTGCTTTACCTTCGCCGGAATTTACAACTAACAAAGTTTCCATATCGAATTTCTTCAAACCCCCCCCCCACCCCCCCAACTATTGGTGAAACCCAAACCCTAAAATTAAACTAGTCCCAACAAAATGCTAGTTGCCGCTGCTACAAAATTCAAGGCTAATCTAAATAGTTCCAATTTGATATATCATTATTATCATTGTTCAAATATCCTCTATACCCATAGTTGCTGAGTTACTTTGCAGAAGTATGTGAAAGGGATTGGGGGCTTCAATTTGTCAAACATTGTATGGTGATTTGCAATGACAATGGGAAGAGCAACAATGCATGATATCTTCCCCTTGAGTATGTATTAGTGGATGTTACCCGACATCTATTCTATTTATTCTTTTTCATCAGATATGGAAGTTGCAAGACACTATTACCAGTTTCTCTTAAATTTTCTCCTAATTTTCCTTCAGCGAGTGATGGTGAAACTGCTTCTCATGATTTGTTGGTCAATCAACTTTCTATTTGTAATAGTAAGGGTTTTAGCAATCATGGAAGTCTGAACCTTTTTTGTTGGTCTGGACGGAGCAACCCTTCCCCGTGTTCAGATAGGTATCGCTCTCGTGCCAAGAGTAAGGGTTTACGTTTGTGGTGTGGCCATAGTTATAAAACTCGGCTTGGCTCGGCCGGTTGGACTGAAAAATCGACAGTCTGGACCCTTGACCAGGGTGGACATATTAATTTGATAGAAATGTACTTGACTCGATCAAATCGGGTTTTTACACAGTTAACTAGCAATTTACCCGATTTGATTGACTGGTTTGATTGGATTTTGAAATCTTCTTACAAAATTTTTGAGTCCAAGGGAATTGAACATTGGGTCTCTAAAGAAAATAATGGGTTTCTCACCACTTGAACATAAAATATTTTGGGAAAATTAGATTAACTACCCTCCAAAATTAAAGAATTTGAATAATACCTTATTAACTTATTAAACCAATAATCACGTAATTAATA